AATGGCCTGATGCTGCAACTGATGATTCTCGATAAAAAATAATATCAAGAAACTTATGTGAACCGTATTTTTTTTTACGAAGAATTCACAGTCCTATTGACTTTTGCAGAACCCCTGCATGTAGTTTATAGTAGCGAATGCTATACCAGAAATTAGAAATTGTTCCAAGATTTCCTAAGGAAATGTTACAGGAAAATACTTTATAGATACGTTCATACGTGACAACAGCACATAAAAAAATACATGTACAGTATTTTGAAGCTGAAAATCAAGAGATACCTGGGTTCCCATTGCATAACCCAGATGACTCGCACAGGGACCCGACCCTTTCTTGCCATTCCATGCAGTGGATATGGGGTGCCAACATTTGTCACAAGAGAAGCACCAATAAAAAATACACAGAAAAATCAAATCGGTCTCTAAGTTGTAGTCTCTTTGATGTAATTTCCTCCAGGAAGACTGCCTTCGGAATTGGCGTGATGGTCGCGGATTAAAGACCCTGCCGATCGAGTCGCACCCCAACAAGTCCGGCGCCCTGAGGACCAAGTCGACGGCGGCTAGGGTTTTTTCTAGGCTGCGGCGCCCCGGGCCAGGAGGGAGAGCCGTGCCGCCGTGCTCCACCGGTCCGGGCGTCTCGCGCGCGTTTGCGTCAGACAGCTGATCCTCGGGCGCCGTCCATCGCCGCCGTATAAAAGCCGAGCCGCGTCTCAGAACTTGCCATTTTCAAGATACTGTCGCTTCTGTTCGTGTGTGTGCACTAGTGAACCAGAAGGAACCATGAAGGTGAGTCCGAGCGAGTCAAAAAAAATTCTCTCTTGATCATCTCGTGCTTTAAAACAACAACAAAACCAAAAAAGAAAAAGTTCCGCGACGAGTGCGACGCCAAGTGAACAAACTCAGTGTTCTGCGAGAAACACTCTAGCAACTCTTTGAGAGTGCAAAAACAAAAAACAAAAGAAAAAGAAACTCACGATTGTGTCCGTGAAAACGTCGCCTCGTCAGCCGCTCGTTCGGTGAGATCGCAACAGTTTCTTCCGGCCCCTCCCGACAGTGTCGCCCATCAACGAAAGAAAAAAAAAACCCGTCCATCCGGTTCCAGTCAGTTAATTGGGCCCCAAGTTCAAGGCCCGGTCTTTAATTAGTCCCGACCGGTTTCGTCACCTCATCGTTGGCCCTAACTCGAGATCCGGACGCCCGATTCGTGCCGAGTAATTTTCTTCCGTTTCGTTTCATCATTCCTCCTCGGGGGAAATGACCATCTTTCGCTCTATCAGTGCTCGGCGTGGAGAGTCAGACAGATAGACAGAAAGAAAGAAAGAAATAAAGAAAGAAAGGCAGTAAGATGTGTCAGAAAGAAAGAAAGAAAAAAAAAGAGCTGAGAATGGAGGGCAGCACAGGTCTACTTTCTACTAGAACACTTTCACCGCGAGCGCAGAAAAACCTCACTTTCTAATAAGGGCTGCGCGCTGCTCTCGCCGTAAGGCATCAGCTATAATCATCCTTATCTCTCTCCGCCTGCTGTTATTCTAATTGCGCGGAACGGAACCGCTGCGCAGCTCGGGTTCGTTGGAGAGTCTCAGCGGCTTCGAAGGGTCTCGAATCATTGCATCAAGCAAAACTCTGTAGAGAAAAAAAAAAGAAAGAAGAAAGCAAAGCCATCCTTTTCTCATGCAAAAAAAAAGATGACTTTCATCTCCCCGTTTCTGCAATCATCTCCTGAACAACCAGCGTCTGTAATTAACTCCCGAGAAAATGACGCCGAGTCCACATCATTGCTGCCGCAGCTGTGAGCAAACCGATCAGTGACTTTCCCTGCTGCAAAGCTTGCAATTAACGGAATCAAAAGAAGCTTCAATGTCTATATTCTTTCCATTCTGCAAGCGGTCCCCATTTTTCTGCGCGTAATTAGATTACATGTACAGTACAGCAATACAACAATAGAGTCATTTGTCTCATGAGGAACAATGTATAATTTTGACAAAATAAACGTCAGTGAGGTTCTTCTGACTCGGATTTCAGAAAGTGTCCATCTTTGGTTTCCAGCACGGGATCAATAAAAAAATTAGTAATCCTGATGCATCGTGATTTCGAGATCCGAGCCGTGAACGGGATCCGAGATTTCATGTAAATTCCAGAAGAGAATTCCCTGGTGAACGTGGATCAACTTTCGAGATCCCTCGTAGGTCCTGAGAGACTTTCAGCTGCATTGTTAATATTTCGACGGATAAAAGCACCCAGTAACTTTCTCGCCTGAGAAGCTTTTTGTTGAATGAGACGAGCTAAAAGGGAAAGGAAGTGCTTTCGTGGAGAGCGTTGGCCTGATTTCCTTCTTCCTTCCGTTCGCAATAAGCGGAAGTTCTTCAAACTTGTGTGATTCGGACGGAATCCGTGCGTTTGCGTACAAGAAGGAACCTGACCCTGATCATGAAGAAAATCCGTCTCCCAAAATAGGTCAGAGTAGAGAAAAAGCACAACTTTGCAAGGTCGGACGCAAAAGCTGATAGGAATGCGGAATAACGCGATTTAAATTTAAAACAAAGAAAATTACATATTCAGATGGAAACGGGTTTCGGCGACTTCTCAGCTTTCTCCGCGACTTTCGCTTTTTTTTTTTCTCTTTACCCCAGAGAAGTGCTTTCTTAAGGCAAGGGGGGGGGGGGCGACCTAGATCCCGAGGCTTATGTCAGGTGCGCGGGGGGAGGAAATAAGGCAACCCGTTGTGGTTTCTGCGGGCGAAATTCCGCGCGGGAACCGTGGGAAACCCGGCTTCGTCGCGTGCGGGGTGCGATAATCATAGCGTACCCGCGGATGCGCACACGCGGCTGACACAGTTCCTGAGAAGCTCTTCTCTCTCTTTTTTTTTCTTCTTGTATTTTGTTTATGGGTCACTGCTTGCTTTCTCTCGGCCGCTTCCGCCTCCGGTGTACACACCTTGTTTCCCTGGCTGTTCGGCATCGCCCTCGACCGGACTTCCCATTCATTATACCCGCACCCCGGGTTCAGGGAACCGCCGACGCGAACTCGGGCACTTCCTGCGGGTTCCGCGATTTTTCCTTACGCTGCCTTGGGAAACTCGATCGAGAGTCCTTGTCGTTATAGTTGAGATTTTGAACAGGATTCAAAGATTAGAGGATTTGACCTGTAAAGTAAATCACTATATCCGCTTTACAAGAAAGAAGATAAATGCCTACTTTTTCAAAGTCAATCGAGGATTGCCCGCTCAGCCTAGAAACACGTGTGCAGAATTTGGGAGATTGAGTCTGTTAATTAAATTTGTACGTATTATCCTTATTAAATTAAGCAAGAATGCGTTTTCAGGATCAATAAAAATTGACCTTTAAAATCGTATTCACGTCCTAACTAACTTGATTTGAAAACCGTATGCTTCTACCCGTGATTTTACCAGCAAAAAGACTATTGTTCGTTCCCGAACAGATTAGAACACTTGTTCTCAAGTCTTGAAATTATATTAATAGAGCAAAACTTCTGAACCAAATCGTTTTAACCATTTTCGGAAAACGTCTGGCAGTAAATCCACTAAGCTCTGGTTTTAATATCAAACAGGATTTGTTTTCTAAAATGCGGAACCGATTAAAACTAAGTTTTATTATTTTCCTAGCCGTAAATTGCAAATCCAAGTCAAGTCGCTGTTGGCAAATTTATCGATCTGGCAAATGTGCCCAACATCTGCTAGGAAATGGCTACTAAAATTTCCAGCGTATAAACTGAATCAAGGTGTAGTATTAAATTGTATTACAATACTTGGTGAACATCAGCCATGTTACCTACAACTGTACAGTACTTATAAGAGAAGGATGTAAGGTGAAAATTTGTTTGACTGTCACCTAGCGAGCAATGACTCGAAATATAACGCAGCTTTCTTACAACGCACAGAGGTGACGCTAAAACATGTCGTGAAGTTCCCGTAGTATGCAGTAAAATCTCCTTACAACGAAGCCATTCTTTTCAGTTAAATAACTTCGTTTTACTAGAAGTTTGTTATAAAGAATCGCAAATAAAATTTCTACCTTTGAACATGGACCTAAAAACATAATTCACTTTGATCGATTATTCGTCGTAACGAGATTCTGCAATATATCCTAAGTATCGGATTAAAATTGTAACTTGCAGCTCTATCGAATCAAGATTAACTTGATTCATCGGAATTATTTTCCTCGATAGGTCAATCGTACAGTAATTGGAACCATACCGTTGTGACGATGTGTTCGTCAGAGTTTGCCCTGGAGCGACACCTATGCAACTCGAAAGAAAGTGATGATTGCTTGTGAAATGGTCTCGCTGAAAATCGAGAATTCGTCCGAAAATCGGGGAACAAATTGAGCGTATTTTCGCGGGAGTACTTCAGAGAAAAATGTCTAGGTTCCATTAAGATGCCGGAAGTGGGAAGCGGATGTCTCCCTCTCTCTGCTTCTCTCTGGAATTCTGGAGAGACTCATAGGAGAGGGAGCCAGCCGAACCCATGGGCCACGAGAGAGGGAGGGAGGGAATGAATGCGCCCGGGATTTCCCATCACTTTTCCGCCGGCGGGCAGGACTGCGCAATCGATTTCGCCTTTCACGACGCCGCGCTTCCGGCTGCGCAGATTTATATATACAGTATATCTATACATATATATATATCTCTCTATATCGTTACACACACATATATGTGTGTACATATATATATATATATATACATATACTGTACATAAATTTTCTTGATTATTCTCCTCGTCTCCTCAGCCTCGGGCACCTGCGGGCACCGCATCCTTTTTGTCGCTCTCGGGGTGATTTATTTCGGGCCCCGCCGCAGGGAAAACGCCCGCGGGAACCGCATTAATGCTGGGCCACTTTCCCCACGGGCGTTTATTCATTACGAAATCGGGGCCTGTCAATCACGCTCAGGCCTTGCTGGCCCCGATATGCCCGGTTAATCTCGCGCCGGCGCCTTGATCCATTAGGGATTCATCACCGACCTGGCCCAGATAAGCCAGGGCTGGAATGCGCCCCGCGGCCCAAGGAACCACGGGCGTATCTGGGTCGCAGAAACTGGGCCGCTTTCGGGTTTCAACTCGCCTGGCCCCGAACCCCCCTCAGGCCATCAACAACTCCTCGTCTGAAATACTCTCAACGCTTGCGCCTCACTCTAATAGATTCTGTCTGGTCAATAATTTCCTGGTTTCCTCCTCATCATCTAACTGACAAATTAAAATAAAACGCAAAATAAGCAGCAGCCAAAAATTTTAAAATTCTTGTAAAATCCATTGTAAAAATACATCTTTGCTCGTGATTATTATTTGCTTTTCAGTCCAGTCAAGTGGGGAGTGCAGAATTTCAGAGCCTTCTTCTTCGTTTCACATTTTAAAGCGAGATTCCTCCCGGCAACTGGTTTTTGAAAATGCTAATAATTTTTCGGAATCGTGTCGCAGAATGAAAGAGTTTCGCCCCCAAGTTCAGGGTCCATATTTGAGTTCGAAAGGGGAGGGACAGAACCCGTGAACGAGCGTTGGGAAACCCGAGCCAGAAGAAAGCGTTTCTTTCCCCCGTGGACACATTTACACGCGGAATTATGCATGTTGTTTTTCTCCTCGGAGGGAGTGGAGAGAAGGACGGGGACATTTGCATGAAAGTTTGGTCTGGACCCCCCGAGAACTTTCACTCGGCTCGGTTTTGCCCGGAGGAGGGGACCCGGGCGCTACACCGGGGGTACTGGGGCGGCGATTAGCGGCGCCGGTGAAAGTGATCCGCAGCGCCCAGGAAAAGTGTATCAGGAGTCTGGCGGCCCCCGTAGGCATTCGCACATACGTGGACGGAAGCAGAAAGGGAAAGAATGAAAGGAAGGAAGGAAGGAAGGAGGAAAAATGCCCAGCAGGCTCATCAACAATGCGTGCGGTCGCGAAAGCTTCCGATTCATTCCCCCGGGGGCCCATCTTTTGTCACTGTCGCCGGGGTTATGAAACTTTTTCCGCCTGTCCGCCGGCGCAGTTTCGCAAAAACCCCGCTTCCGCGTCTGGCCATCTGTCCCGACGTTGCGACACCGGAACCCGGGAGGAAGAAACTCCTGCGATCTCACCGCACATATTCATCTCGCTCTCTCTCCCTCTATCTCTCTCTATTTTTTTTGCATTGTTGTTACATGCTACTTGAATGTTACTCATCGCCAAATTGTTGTTCTTGTTTTTCTGTCCGCAGTTATCCCTGATAACACTCGCACTTCTAGTCTACCTGGCCACGGCCGATGCTACCATCTTCGGCAAAATCTTCGGGTAAGTACCCTTCGCTAATTTCCAGGTGATCGACACCCTGGAAAGATGCCAACGAGTAGACTCACTCCAATCGAACCTTCTCCAGAGTAAACATTTTTGCATGGGACCAACAAACATCCTGCTGAAACATGCGCATGTCTTTCAATGAAAGCACTCCTAGAACATTTTTAAGAAATACGTTCCTCTCTAATTTTACAGATGAATTCTTCATACGTACAGCAAAGATAATCTGAAGTAGAATATAATTTTTTTAATTGCACCGAAGATTGTTTAGCGTAATTCTTCTGCTAGGGATGCATTTTCTGGTGCGGCAGACAAGTTATATGCATAAAAATGCATGTTTGGTCAATATTAAGCGGCTTTCGAGAGGTATATTTTTGCATAGGCATCTCAAAAGTTGCTCAATTTTGCAAACATGGTTTTTTGTGATTATATTCAGCTCCCCGATCATGGCTGCAGAAGTATTCCGATCTTCGGCATGAGCCCGTCATTTTCGTATATCAGTTCCTCCAACACTCGCAAAATTTCCATCGCCCAGTCGGGAGAGAAAAAGTCTCAATTCACTCGGATGAAAGCTGCTTTAATTTTCCCGAAGCTTTTTTTTGTTTTCTTTGCTTGGGCTTGTCAGCATCCCTCGCCTTGTCTTCTTACTTCGTTTGTTAGCCGCGCAATGAACAACTTTCGCTGATTCTTCGCTGCGTCAAATAAATTTTCCCTTGATGGTTCCCAAAGGGGGTTTCTCCGGGACGCAAATAACTTTCACAAACAACCAGGAATGGACATGTTTTTCTCTCGACGATTAAAGTCTCCCGGAATCTCAGCCCAAATGCGATTCTCAGATGCATGTATAGTCGTGACGCGTGACGCAGACTCCTTTTCCCTTTCTACTCATCCGAAAACCGCAACCCGAATTTTAAGAAAATATATACAAATTAATGCCAGCGAAAGTAGCGCCCAGATGCTGACCAGACATGAACCCCTTCCGCCGCGGAACCCACGGGAGGAAAAACTGCAGGTTGCGGGTCGTCTCGACCGTCAACCCGCGAAAAATTAGCCGTAATTTCAGGGAGCTCCGAGTTGCATAAAGGTCGGATTGTGTAATGTCGGAGTGAAAGGGGAGAGGAAGGCGCGTAACCCGGAGAAAGGCAGGGTTTCCGGTCTCGGGGCCCCTGGTGAAAGACGTCGTCTCCGGATGTCCGACAGGGTGGGGCCCTATTCCGAATCCCAGAACGAAAGTCTTTTTCGAACTTATTCCCGGCAGCGGATGTTGAGAAATGTAAAATGCAAATGTAAATTTCACGCCCAAATATATGTTCACTCCTGCAAATATTTTAAAAACGGCGTTATAAAAATGATTCTTTTTGACAACAGTCTCCAAGAAATATGCGTCAGTAGAAAAATTGTGATCCTGGCTTCAGATAAAAAACATGCTCGCATAAAAATATAAACTCCATCGTCTGAACAATTTCACGTCCATCTTCATTCTTCCTGATGGTCAAAAAAATCTAGAATGAAAAAAATCGTCTCTGCAATGCCCAAAATTGACTCATACAATAGAAGTTGAATTGAAAATCTGTGAACAACACCCTTCCTAGAAACCGTGAAATTGACAAAATGCAATGTAGACTCAAAATGAAATCCCCGGTTAATCGAAAAATGCACCCCGATCCATTTTTTTAGCGAAAAGAAAGAATCGAGGCAGTACCAGTAAATATGGTTTCCTTAAATGCCCGAGGCTGAACTAATTTTCTCCAGAGACTTAAAAATCTTGAAAAGTGGAGCATAATTACGAGACATGCCTGTTTAATGACTAATGCTGGAAATTTGTCGAGAATGTGTAATCAGTAAATTTGCGTGTACTCCATTCAATTTTTTTTTCTATATGGTATCGCGCATCAGCAAGGCGGACGGCAAAGAAAAATAATAATGAGTCAATTAAGTTTAAAAATCACGCGTTCGGGGGCTTTGCGCGCAAGTGAGCGTCGCGTGATTCAACGCTCGCTCGACCAAGCCACTCGGCGGAAAAAAAAAGTGGCGGGCTTCGGACAGTACCTTCCCTCCTGCCCTCAGGCGGCGGCCCCGCGTTGGGATCTGGGTCAGTCAGTCCCCGTATGGCGCATAAAAGGCGGAGGCCCGCCTCGCATCGCAGCATGACAATGACGGACGGCGCGGAATATAGCATCGCGCACCCGTCGCGGAACCGCATTTTCATGGAAATCTCCCCCGGCGCTCCCATTTGTTGACCCACATCCGTCACCGCGGGCCCTGATTGATGCCGCCGTCCGTCGCCTCTCTTCCTTTCCTTTCTCGCGTTTCCCGAGGATCTCGGACGCCATCTTTCCGCTACTACTACTACTACTACTACTACCACCAGCAGCAACACCACCATCACTGCTCTCTATCTGATGATCGAGAGGGTCTCTCGGGTTCGAGGATCACAATTCAGCAAAATTTGTCCGAGCCAGCATTAAAATCGCCCATTCCAATGATGCATATGCCCAATTTTTTTCAAAGAATTTGCGGGAAGATTTACCTGAATCGCGACTATAAGAAGAAGATCATTTTCGTTCCAGGATAAAATCCTTAATCCTTCTTCAAAATGATTCCGAAAAGTTTAGAGGGAGATTGTAATTCGGCGATCTTGCGGAAAGATCCTCTGGAGAAAGGCAGAATGGGTCAATTATAGTCGTCCCAATGAAACCCCACGACTTTTTTGCGTGTGTTTCTGTGGCAGCCATTTTGTTGGAGATTATCGGGATGATTTTTGCCGCATGTTTCTTTGCGATCCCCGGAGTTTAAGTTGGTTGCAATGTAGCAAATTCTCGAGAAAGTGCACATGCTACATTTGAATGAAAATTGACCATGTTTTTTTCTGTGGTTTTCAGCGCGGAAGATCGAGATGGAAAAGGAGGTGGCGGTAAAGGCCTGATTGGAGGCGGCGGCGGTTACGGATATGGAGGAGGAAAAGGCAAGGGTAAAGGCGGTGGAGGCGGCTACAGTTCCAGCTCGTCGTCTGGCGGCGGCAGCAGTGCCAAAAAGGGAGGAAAGAAGGGCGGTGGCGGCCTGCTCGGTCTCTTCGGAGGCGGCAAGAAGGGCGGCGGCAAGGGAGGTAAAGGCGGCAAGGGTGGCGGCGGCTACAGCTCCTCCTCCAGCGGCGGCGGCCTCGCAAACATCGGCGGCTACGGATCCTCATCCTCCAGCGGCGGCAACTCTGGAAAAACTAAGGGCAAGGGAGGCGGCGGCAAGAAGGGCGGCGGCATCCGTGGTCTCTTCGGAGGCGGCAAGAAGGGAGGCGGTAAAGGAGGCAAGGGTGGCAAGGGAGGCGGCGGCGGTGGTTACAGCTCCTCCTCCAGCGGCGGCGGTCTCGGCGGGTACGGATCCTCTTCCTCCAGCGGCGGCAGTTCTGGAAAGTCCAAGGGCAAGGGAGGCGGCGGCAAGAAGGGCGGTGGAATCCGCGGACTCTTTGGACGTGGCAAGAAGGGAGGCGGCAAGGGCGGCAAGGGAGGCAGCTCCTCTTCCAGCGGCGGCGGTGGCGGCTATGGATCCTCTTCCTCCAGCGGCGGTAGTTCTGGAAAGTCTAAGGGCAAGGGCAAGGGATCTGGCAAGGGACGCGGCAAGGGCGGAAAGGGAGGCAAGGGCGGCAAAGGCGGCGGCGGTGGCGGATACGGCAGCTCCTCTTCTTCCGGCGGCGGCGGCTACCAGCGTGAAGGCATCATGAAGAAGCTCAAGAAGGCCCTCAAGGGAATGTTCGTGAGTATCTGAAACCCCGAAGGCCACCTGGGAACTGAATCGATTCTAAAACCCGTTCTCTTTTCTTTTTCCTCAGGGCGGGTGAGCGGATTTCTGTCATCTTCCGGAAAATTTCTAGTCGCTGTCCAAACTCTGGAATAATTTACCTTCTTCCGGATAACCAACAGACATGCAGAGCATTGTATCCAACTGCCATTTTTTCTGCAATGTTTCTTCAAATATTCAACCGAGAAATTTATCAGATGCCTTCCAATGGAATAAAATGTTATCAAAAAACAGATTCCCCAGAAGTTCAGCTTTCTAGTCAAGTTGTTCGAGTTTTGAATTTGTGGCGTCTATAATAAACAAGTCATTGCATAAATTACCACGAAATAACATTCTCCTCGAAATTCTCCGGATCTTCTCTTCATCATAGCAACGCCGAAAAGAATAATTTGATTTTTTGAGATAGTGGCTTTGATTTTCCTTCCAGAGAAAAATAACGCCAAAAAACAACATTTTCGATTGAACCGAGAATCATTTACTGATGCCTTTCGTTTTTGTTTTTCTTTGTGTCTTTTAGCAAAGGTAACGTATCTCCTGATACTTCGTACGGTTGGTCGTCGAGCAGCAGCAGCGGCAGTGGCGACGCGGACAACGACGATGACGAGGGCTGGGATCTGGAAAGCAAGCTGGAGGGCTGGAAAGACGGCATCAAAGGCGGCATGAAGGACTTGAAAGACGGGATGGATGGGTTGAAGGACTCAGTTGACACGGGGGTCAAGAAAGTCGGGGCCAAGTTGCTGAGGAGCAAGGCCAACTTGCTGGCCACGAAGGCCAACGTTTTCGACGCCCTGGCCTGGGATTTCTACTCAAAAGCCAAGGACTTGGGCAAAGGCTCTTCCGGTATTCCTCCAGCAGGCTTCCTGGTGCAGCTTCTGGCTTGCTGGACTTTGCTTTATTGCTCTTAGACAGGGCCATCGAGTCAAGCCACGTCAGCTTTTGAATTAAAAAAAAAAATGCAGGAAGAAGAAATGCTCTAGTGCTTATCCTGCTGATCAGACTAGATCTTCTTCAGCCTTCTATCCTTTCGAAAAGCTTTTCTAATCTATCAATCGAGATTTCGCATCAGTTATCCGATGAGAAGATTCAAAAGCAGAAGAAATTGATGCCGTTTCAAGATTTTACGTCTTTAACGGAGATGCAAATGCATTTGACGAAACAAAACATCCGAAAAAGTTTCGGGCTTCTTCCTTTCTCTGTCCTTTCTCTTTCTCGGAAGCAAATTTTATTTTTCTCTTCAAAAACCTGTCACTATTTTATATCATTGGACTTTCAAGACGCCATTTCGAAGGGATTGACATCAAGGAGAGACGATGAGATTTGGGTTTTTAGGGAAGACATTTCTGGTTGAGAAGACAAAAAAAAACAGCTTGGGCTAGAAAAAAAAAAGTTGCTGAATGCCGATATTCTAGTTGGAGAGAAAAAAACTGCTCCTCGGAGTTCCTGCGCCTCGCATTCACGTCATCCAGCCGAGCTCACACACGCCACGCCACTAACGCTGCTCTGCCATCCGATCATTTTATTTTGCGAATTCATTTTGCTTTTCCCGATAGCAGATTGGCGTATGATTCTCACGTCGTGCCTTTTTTGTTTTCTGAATAGGAGGCAAAGGCGGTAAGGGAGGCGGAAAGGGAGGCGGCAAGGGAGGCAAGGGAGGCCATGGCGGCGGTTACGGACACCATCACCACAGCAGCAGCTCCGGCGGCGGCGGACACAGCAGCGGCGGCGGATACGGTGAATTTATTGTTATTTTTCTTCAGTCTCACCTCCGTGGAATCCACAGTCTGCGAGTTTCTCCCATTTTCCAAATTTAAATGCTCATAGAAAAATAAATATTTCTTTTAGAGATATATACAGTAACCATCTTTCCTATTCCCGACAAGGAAATCGAAGATTATAAGAACTTCAATTCACTGAGAAACGATCGCTGAGTTATCCTCATAAACACTTACTTTTGTCTCAATCTTCGAAATTAATGAAAACATAAAATGTTAAATAATGCTTACATTCGCGAATCTCTCGTAATTTAGGAGGCGGTCACGGAAACGGTCAATCCGGCGGTTACGGCCTGAGCAGCAGCGGATCCTACGGCGCCCCCAGCGTCGGCTACGGCGCACCAGCAGCCAGCAGCGGTGGTTACGGAGGCGCTAGCAGCGCCGGACACGGTGTCAGCTCTGGCTACGGCGCCCCTGCCCAAGAATACGGCGCACCTGCCCAAGAATACGGCGCCCCTGCTCAAGAATACGGCGCACCTGCCCAAGAATACGGCGCTCCTGCTCAAGAATACGGCGCACCTCAACAAGAATACGGCGCACCTCAACAAGAATACGGCGCACCGCAACAAGAATACGGCGCACCTCAGGTCAGCTCTGGCTACGGCGCCCCCGCAGTCAGTTCCGGATACGGCGCCCCTCAGGTCAACTCCGGCTACGGCGCCCCTGCGAGCAGCGGCGGCAGTGACGGCGGCTACGGATCCTCCGGCGGACAGCAAATCTCCATCGCCCAGGCTCCAGCATACGGTTCCCCCGACGACTCCTACGCAGCGGCGCCTCAGGGCGGCTACGGTGCCCCGGCTCTCAGCTACGACGCCCCCGCGGTCTCTGACTCTTACGGGGCCCCGTCGGGCGGCTACAGCGCCAAGGACAGCTACAGCGCCCCATCAGACGCCCACGCTGCACCTGTGGCGGTCCCGGCACCGGCCTACAGTGCTGCTCCCGCACCCAGCAGCTACGACGCCCCCGCAGTGTCGTCCGGCTACAGCGTGGCGCAGGCGGCGCCTTCAGGTGGGCCACACCTACACCACCCCGGACCCATACCCGTACCCTTTCCCGCACCTTTACCCGCACCTGCCCCTGTTTTCGAACCCGTAACCCCGGTCTATGACCTGTCCATCCTCACGCGTCTGCCCGAGACCAACCGGGTTCCACAACAGGGCTACGGACATGCCGCCGACTTCCTGCCTCAGCCCCCGAACCAACCCGAACCCAAGTCCGTGCAGCCGTACGGGTTCCCAGCCCAGCAACCCTCCCCTCCTCAGCACCACCACAACCATCACCACCAAAATGTCCAATCCGGCCCCGGGGCCTTTGATGAGCAACCCGTCGCGCCGCAGAACTTCCCCTCGTCGAGTTACGGGCAACCCGAAATAGGCCAGCAACCCAATTTCCACCCAGGACCTGGTCCGCAATCCTACGAAGCCCCAAAACAACAGCCCGATTTCCCACCCCAAAACTTCGAGCAACCCAGGTTCTATAATCAGGGACAAGTTTCTTTTGAGCAGCACCAGCAGCAGCCTCAGCAGAGTTACGAGCAACCCGCGGCTCAGCAACATAATTTTTTCCCCAGTCCTGAGTCGTACGAGCAACCTTCGGGTCAAGAGCAGCAGAATTTCTTGTCAGGTCCCTCTGAGTCTTACGAGCAACCCGCGAATCAGCAGCAGCAGCAGCAAAATTTCTTCCAAGGCCCCGGTTCTTACGAGCAACCCGCAGCTCAACAGCAGCAGAATTTTTTCCCGAACCCTGGGTCTTATGAGCAACCCGCAGCTCAGCAACAGAATTTTTTCCCGAACCCTGTGTCTTATGAGCAACCCGCAGCTCAGCAACAGAATTTTTTGCCGAGTCCTAGTTCTTCTTATGAGCAGCCCGGGCTTCCCCAGCAGCAGCAGCAGCAGAGTTACCAATCCGTCGTCCCACAGGGTTTTCCTTCTGGTAGTTACGAACAACCCGGGGTTCCCCAACAGCAGCAGCAGCAGAATTACCAGCCCTCCGCGCAGGGTTTCCCTTCGTCGGGTCACGAACAGCAGCAGCAGCAGCAATCCCACCAGCAACAGCAGGGGTACAATCAGGTGGCCCCGCAACCCGGGCCCGACTCGTACGCGACGCAGGCCCAGGGTCAGAACAGCCAATCGGTGTATATTGCCCCACCGAATGGGATCCATGGGCCGGTCGAGATGCAATTCCTGCTCACGTACGAGACGGACCATGGGCAGCAACAAGCGTATGCGGGGCCAGCTGAGGAACCCGGGAATCACGGTCAGCAGCAACCCGTGGGTTTCGTAGAGCCCGTGACTTACGAGGTCGACGAGTCTAAGAACGGCAACTCCATCGTGCAGGAAAACACGGGTTATGGGTCTGTGGTACCCGTCGCGAACCCGAGCGTGAGGGTAGAAGTGCCGAGTGACGAGTTCTACATCCCGAATAATCGCGGGGTCGGCCCGAACCCGAAACCTTATTAAACCGGGTTCCCGCGATATTTGCTTTCCCTCCGATCGCTTAGAGTCTTTATTTTTTACATTTCTGTCAAGTACAAAGTAATTCTTTCGTTTTCCACCCGCACTTGTGGCAAATTTATCGACGACAGAATTTTAGCGCTTGATTCGTTGGGTTCGTCTCTCGGAGTTATTCGCTGCTCAAATTCCTGAGCAGAAGATGTAAATGTAATTTGTTACCATTTTCATTTCCTAGCAGATGGAGGATTTGAAGAATATTTGTAGAATTTTCTTTTCTTGGTTGGGGATTAGTTAGGAGAATTGAGGACTGCGGTACTCGGTCAAAGATTCAAGGGATTGCCGACCTTTTATTATTTTTCCTGTGGGCACTAGTCGGACATGATTGATTCCGCGTTTCCTACTTCGCAACCCGTCGTATTTTTTTTTTTATGGTGCACGATTACCTTTTATAAACGGCTTGCATCTTGACCTTACCCTACCTTGCTCCTTGCTGAAGGCAGTGAAGTTCGTGCCAATTTTCGAGAAAGTTTGCTTGCACAAAATTTACAAGCTGTTCCCCACTTGTTTTTTGTACGCGCTTCGAACGAAGCCGACACCAACACCGAACATAACCTCGGTGTAAGCAAATGCGCATTCTCACAATTATATTTTTTCTCTTGTCCTACACGAAACCCTTCCTGCTTTCAATTCCGCTTAATTTTGGATTGTTTTTTTTCCTGGAGAGAAGTTAATTCTGGAATTTTGTTGCTTCTGGAATGATTCGCAGGTTACCAACGTTGATTCAATCTGCTCTGTTGATTGATCAAACGCCATGACCAGCCCAATCAGCGACAATGGAATCAAGGAGACAGTGCAGCTCATCCAGGCCATCAGCAAGGGAACCAGACACTATTTCAAGGCATACGAAGCAACTCCAGTATCTGGGTTTTTTATTTTTTACCTCAGTTCAATTTTTTGTGCAGCTAAACTGTAGCAGGGTTTCTTTTCCGCGAGCAGCTGGGCCCTGGAAAGATGATTTTGTCTTTTTGTTTGGTTATATTATTTTCTGGTGAAACCCCGTGGGAAATTTGGGAGCAGACTTTCACAGTTCGAGCTGATTCTGGGCAGTCGGTGTTCAGCTATATAGTAGCCTCTCACGAAAGGACAGAAGCTTCATAGAACCCGTGGAGCTGTTTCGTAAGCTGGATTTCCTGCACGGATTTATTTATTGCCGCATACAAATTTAGTCTTCCATCAGCAGCCGCGGTTGTGTATTGCTGTAAATGTTCCCTTTCGGTCCGTATTTATTTCGCATCCAGTTTGTCAGTCAGTCAGTCAGTCAGTTGGCCCACTCAGGTGCTCTGCGAATTCGTGGGAGGTTCGAGTAAGTTGCAAAAGCCGGCAGACTCTTGGCCAAAGACAGAAATCCCTCTGGAAAGAAACGTGTTCCCCCATCCCAGTCCAGAACTTCCCGCCTCGGCCTGAACCCTGTGCAATGGATTTGTTAGATCTAGTGGGAATAGCTTGAGTCACGGTATAATTGAATTGAAAAAATGTTTGGATGTGTTGCAATGCCCCAGTTGCCAGTCCATAGTTACCACAATGACCCGGATCCTCAGCCGTATCTCAGACGTTTTTTGATGCTGTTTATGTGCGATTGTTTTATTTTTTTGCTGTTTTCGAGTCGAACGGATTCTCACGCCCAGCGATAGTTACCCAGTCCCAAGGTATGTTTTCGACGAGGCCGTGCAGCGGATATATGAAGTGTTATATATTTTTTATGACCGCCAGTGAGTTACCCGTATTTTTTCCCGTGGCGGGAAGCCGCGTTTGTTCGGTCGCTGCCTCCGTCCTAACAAGAAGTTGATCAAACAGCAGGCAGAACTTGTTTAGTTTTTTTTGTCATCTTTTTTTTTTCGCCCGGTTTATGGGACTTGTAGATGGTTGTAGAAATTTTTTGACGTTAGCCCTCTTATGGAAGTATTTTCGAAGAGTTTTATGCCCCTCGAGGGACTCGCTTCCTTTCGCGCCGAAAAACTTACAGGACCTGATTTTGTTTTTGTTTTTCGCACCCGGAACTGTTCCGAGGATCCACGACTTCCGTCTTCTGCGCTGCTGGATTTCCGCACTTCCTTATTTTGTGATTTTATAGTCTTTTTATCGCAAAAGATAATTTTTATTTTGTGCATTATATTACGAACGCCTCTCGGGTATAGACCAGGCTGCCGACAGCGACATGATATGTTCACTTGCCATCGTTTCTCGCCGCCCCGAATAGTTGGATATTTTGTGGTCGCTTTTTTGCAGTTGTCAGGTTGCTCAATTGAATGATTATTTTGTTGACGATGCCTCAATCATCCGGTCCGTCGTCTTAGGGATAGCTTTTGCTTCCGGAAGCGACAGTGCTTCTGGTTTTTTTTTTTTTCGCCCGCTCTTCCGGTCGTCCGCGTACGCTTCCTTTCCGGAAATTCACGACAGGGTGTCACGAAAAGTTTTACGCTTCGCGCCGATTTACCTGCCCTTTTTCTTCTGCTCGTTCGCGGGCGCATTTGTTGTTGATGAGGCGGCATTGTTCATTATGTACATATTGCTGTTGAAAGAAAATATAAAAATCACACGTACCGTTGCTTGTGCGTTCTTTTCATCCAACTTTTAAAAACATTTGCCGATAAGATGACGCAATTTTGGGCGAAAAATAAACACGCCCAGATAACAAACTTCAGCTTAACAAAGGAGATAATTACACTCTGTACTGTACTAGCTAAACTTACATCTATCATAGTTTTATCAACCCTGCACTGATGAATGACAAGGCTTTCTGCTCGACTGTAAGATTTACAAGAGCTTCATACCCATCAGTGTGGGCAGGATTCGTCTTACTGAGCATATTAAAAAGTTCAAGAGAGCGACACCTGTTCAAACAAATACACATTAGGTCTGCGACGTATTTTGTTGCCTCTGGACAGAGGCGCTCTAAACCCTGCAGACACCTGAACGACACAATCGCTCTCGGTCAAGGAAACTTGGGAACAGTGGAACCTGGTGTCGACAGGCGCGGGGATGATGCTTTATCTTTCGCGGCTAAGGCAGCATTTGAACGAGGAAAGATGCGGACGATTAGGAAAGTCTGACCCAGATGCACGTTGTTGTTGGACGTCCTTCCGGCGGCGGATGAAAACTGGGGCAACGAAACCAGCATAAAATCGAGCTCGGATAACGGCGTCCCACGGGTAGCCAACAACGCGGAAGGAAGCCTCGAGGTCATCATGGATCATTGATCAGGTCATTCTCATACCATTTCTGCTGTTCGTGTTTTTTTCTCGTAATCGTTGCTCTTCATGAAATTACTCGCTTTTCAAATTCTTCGGAACGCAATCCTTTTAGGGATTTAAGAAGTTTAGAAATTTGAGACAAACGTTCGACACCAGAGATGAGAAGTTAATTTCCTTTTTTCCATTAGGATGTGATGAATGAAGGGAAAGCACTCATTTATGCGGGCTCAAGAGAAATTTAGAAGCTAATCAACTGATCAAAATCAATTTCAGCAATTATTCGCAGAATATGTTCCTTGAAAATATCCTGCCTTGTTCTTTTGCAGGTTTTCTCGAAACATTTTTCTACGCAACTTTCCTGCCTGAAATAAATAGTGTAATTCTTCTATTTCTTGTGATTGGCATTCGATGAGAGTAAATTTAATACAGAAAAACCTCTTACTGAAAGGGAAAAAGGAATCATTGTATTTAGCATATTTTCGTCACTTCTGGCTCGATTCGACTCAGCTGAACTTTAATCCTAAAAATCAAAAAAGTTAAGCACATTTATTAAATACTTTCCGTTGTTCGTTTTTGTTTCTATCTCAGTTTTTACCGTGAAAATGCAACTAGAGCTCAAAACAGGCCTCGATTGAAAATGAATCAAATAACCCATGAATGGACAGGTTTTCGAGTTGATGGCCCTGAGCATCACATCTTGGCAATGAATCAATATTTTAAATACAGTACCTGCATAATTTTAAATTCATTTGAAATTGTAATCATTTCATGTGTAATCATGTAATCATTTGTATAGCTGGAGAATTTCAGAAAATCGGAAGAGCTACGCAAGAATCTCTTGCGGAGTGTCGACAAAAATAGCAAATTCGTAAATCACCCATGAGATGATGATAAAATTGAAAACCCAAGGAGAAAAAAAAAACTTCAAAAGATTTTCGGAAGAAAAAAAAACGAAATGACGAGCATCGTCCAAGAATTTCTCGACGACGGTGCCTCACGTCGCGTCGGAACTGACGGTTCATCAACCCGAACTAAGATCTGCGACAACAGCTTTTTGTAGCTGACGACTGTCGTTTATTCGCTACTCTTCCGCTGGCTGACGACCAATTTCTGGTCTGGGTGACGGACAGACTGGCAAATGCGGCTCAACTTGGTACGTCACCATTTTTTGAGAGCATGTAAGACTTGCATGTTCCGTATTTCGCATATGGAAACACACCGCGTTTCATCCTGTGACCAGACATTCCAGTGCGTGTCAAAACGGCGCCGACCAGAACAGTGCGGATCCTGAATGAAATATCATGAATCTGGTATTCCAAACAATTTGAAGAAATAAATACTGCCTGTCATGAAATTCTTCTCCATGTTTAGGGAAATATATTCACTTCGAAATCATTTCCGAGTAAAGTTCAAGAGTATCCTTTTAATGTTCAAAGAAATTGAACATATAATAAATTAACAATCTAGTGACATGCAGGAATTATTAAATTTGTATGGCAGAAACATTAATACAGTGGGGCCCCGAGACGCAAACGTAATTGGTGCTTGGACCTTGTCCCTATCTCAGTGTCCGCATGTCGAATCACGAATCACGTTTTCCTTTGGACTTCAAAGGGAACATATTTAATTGGTTCTTCTGTTCATCAAAAATTAAGAATCAAGTCCCCACAAATTGAATAAAAAAATTTTAAACTTGAAGATATACAGAAAAAAACTGTGCAGCAGAAAACCATGCAGAATCTGATCTTTTGAAAT